TGTTCTTTGGTGGCACAGTGGTTACAGCAAACGACCCATTTATGGAGGCCTTGGTCCCTGACTTGGATCGACGCGGGTTCAGATCTGGCCTGTGGTCCTTTGCTGCATGTCTTTTCCTCTTTCTCATAGCCCCTTTCCTGTCAGCCTACTGTTCATAAAAACGAGCCACTAGTGCCATAAAAGTTCTGGCTAGGCCACTGATTATGTGGGGAACCAGATTTTCTGGGTTCCCACCCAATCGCTGGGTGCTTTTATGGAGTGAGTTTTGTTACATAATTGTTGTAAATAAATACCCGTTTGGGGATTGAAATTTGGAATAAAAGGCAATCCCAAAATGCAAGTTGGACAAAGTATGTAGAAAAAAAACATTTTAATGTTTCTGTTGTTTCTTTGCCTGGTTCAGTGAAAGATGCTTGTTTACATTAGATTTAGGCAGGTGTTAATAGCCTGAAAATGATAGCACCATTCTACTTGCATCCACCCCAAAGGTTACTTGAACCAACAAATTCTGGCATCTGGCTGAAGAGTACATTTTGAAAGTTTTGGAGAATTTGTAAAAGTATGGGAGTTACCAGAGGGGGATTTATTTCAAAGCAGCATTTTAACGCATTCCAGAACTGATCTCTTTAAAACGTTGCCTTTTCTCCTCTTAAATTTCAAGTAGTTTGAAAAGTTGATTAGTAGGATTGGTAGGAGATTGCATTGGACACATATTTAATGAGAAAAATATAACAGCTGTTGTAAATGTCACTGCTCAATTTTGAGCAGGCTTAAATCTGGCATAACAGCTTGACAGTAAATGACAGTTTACAGCAGAGGGTGGTTTGGGTCCACCGACCTCTGGGTTATGGGCCCAGCACGCTTCCGCTGCGCCACTCTGCTTTCCTCATGAGAAGACGGAATTGGAAGGCAAAATCAATTATTTATGGTTTGGCTTTGTTATGCCATACGCCACAACATTAATTTTGGACATTTTGGAACAATCTGCATGCAGATTTTAACTTTGAACATCTGTGGATTAAAATATATAGTTTTG